AGGGGCTCTCGTGGGGATGCTGTTGAGAAAGCCACCCTCTTTCCTCATCGGGTGAGATACCTGAGGTCACCGGGGCCCGAGCGCGCCAGCCTGTGCCCAGCAGGCGGCGGCCCCGGGGAGGCGCTGAGTCCCGGCGGAGGACTGCGGCCCAACGGGCAGACCAAGCCGCTGCCCGCGCTGAAGCTGGCGCTGGAGTACATCGTGCCGTGCATGAACAAGCACGGCATCTGCGTGGTGGACGACTTCCTGGGCAGGGAGACCGGGCAGCAGATCGGCGACGAGGTGCGCGCCCTGCACGACACCGGCAAGTTCACGGACGGGCAGCTGGTCAGTCAGAAGAGTGACTCTTCCAAGGACATCCGGGGGGACCAGATCACCTGGATCGAGGGCAAAGAGCCCGGCTGCGAGACCATCGGCCTGCTCATGAGCAGCATGGACGACCTGATCCGCCACTGCAGCGGAAAGCTGGGCAACTACAGGATAAACGGCCGAACGAAAGTAAGTGGCTGGGGCTCGCGCCCGAAGGAGGGTCTGTGAGGACCACCCCCCACCCCCGCAGACCCGGGGCTGGCGCTCTGCTTTAGCGTGGCTCCTTTTGTCCCGGTAGTAGTCTTAGCCACAGTGCAGAGCCTGCCGGAGCCCTGGTCACTCGTGGGGGACGTTGGGGTACCAGCTACATCGGATCAGGGTGATGCATCTTGCCTGTGTGCCTGAGCTAGTTAAAAGCCCCGCGGTTTTCAGCGCGCACCCGGCTCTGATTGAGAGCCAGACACTGTGTTTAGCTGGGACTCTGTCAGCTGCCCCCAGAAAGGTCCATTTAAAAGCCTGTGGTCGGAAGACTCCCTGTATTCAGGAAAAGCTTGGCGGCCTGCTCCCCTCCCCCTTGTAGCTTTATCTTGCTGGCTGTCCCTACTGTTTTGAAACCCACTACCAAACCGGGAAAGAGGTGTTTCCGTTCCCAGGGCTCATAGTAGGTAGGATACACTCAGAGCACAGGTTTCCTCTATTCGCTTTGTTAATGTGTTTCTCCTGTTGAAAAAGGACTGCTTCTGTGGCTTCCTGGTTTGTTTATTTATTTATTTTTAAAACAAAACCGACACGGAATTGGAGATCGGAGAGCTCCTCTCAACCTTATGTTTAGTGGGATTTTTTTTTCTTCTTTTTCTTTCTCTTACTGTGTCAGTACCTTCCAGTCTGCTGCTCCCTCCCTCCTGTGGCAGACAGAGGCTCTCCACTTTCCTTCCCCCGATATGAATCTGTTCTTTGTGTTCTCAGCCTCCCAGGGAACCCTGATCCACCTCCCAGTCTACAGTCAGTCCAAGTTTTGGGAGGTTTTGGAAAACCCTGACACACAAGTTTGTACACACAAGCTCTTCCCAGTAATTATTGGTCGTGTGGGTTTTGAACTGTGTTGACAGCCATATGGGACTGTCGGACAGAGAATGTTTAGGAGGGAAAAATACAACGAATTCAACGAGAAGCCTAATTTACTGCAAACTCAGTACTGATGGGGGCACCTGTCTTGCTATCGAGTGACCTCAAGAAAAAGTTGCTTAAAATTAATCTTCATGGTAGAGGTGTAGCAGGTGACAGTGACTGTGTTTGCCCAGCGTGTGGAAACACCCGAGTTTGATCCCCTGCAGCATGGAAACCATGCCGGACTTCAGTGATCCCATTTCTCTGGAGGAGGTTCAGAAGTTTAAGGTCATGTGGTGCAACATCTCTAGTTGGAGGGCAGCTTGATCTACTTGACATTTGTCTCTAAAAGTACAGTAAGGCAGAGGCAAGTGGATTTCTGAGTTCGAGGCCAGCCTGGTCTACAGAGTGAGTTCCAGGACAGCCAGATATACACAGAGAAAGCTTGTCTCGAAAAACAACACAAAACACACACAAAAAAAACCACAAACAAAAGTACAGTAAACCTGGGAAGGGGATAGAAGTCTGATTGGACCCCAGTCTGGGCTTTCTATGCGGTTTTCATTGTATTTAAAAAGAAAGACTGCCCTGTTGGTCATCTGGATGTCACCATTCACCCCGATTTGGAGCTATGACTGGGGGATAGCTTGGTGTGGGATATGGAGCCAGGAAAGTGGTTTCCTCAGCCTTGATGGATCTGCTTTCCTTAGGAGAGGTAATCGAAGGCTTCTTCCCTCCTTCTTCTTATTCTTAGGGAAGAGGCAACAGACAGCTTGGCTCTGAGGGCAGTGGCTCTCTTGGGGATGCTGTTGAGAAAGACACCCTCTTTCCTCATAGGTTGAGATAACTGAAGAAACAGCCCTGATTTAAGTCACTTGCCCAGAGATCTGGGGGGACCAACCAGCCTAGCGGCAGGGAGGATGTGCTGGCTCCTACTCCGAATTTGAGCTCACACTTTCATTCATTCAGGGTCTGTGGGGGGCAGTTTTAAGTACTTCCCTCCTCTGCCTCACATCTTAAAAATTACATTCATTGCTTACTTTGAGTGTGTGCGCGCGCGCGTGCCTGCATGTGTGTCCGCACGGAGGTCAGAGGACAGCTTTCCAGGATCGATTCTCCTACTGAGGGGGTCCTGGACAGATCTCTCTTTTAGAGACAGATCTCTCACTTTAGCTATTGGAGCAGTGTGGTTGTCAGTGCCTGGCCCCTACCTCAGAGCTAGAAGGGATGGAACTTAAGTCATCGGACTTGGCACAAGTACCTTTACCTCCTGAGTCACCACACCTGCCCCTCATTGAACATTTTGACTAAAAAAAAAAAAAAAGATCATCATGTTTGAACATGTAATTTAATTACTTATTAAAAAGAAAAAAAATGTTGCTTTTGGGCACTAAGACACCTATTACACACTCCTCCCAAATATTGAACAAGCAGGCTGTATCAGGCTTCCGACTAGGCTCCGTACAGCCAATGTCATTGTCATTACACTGTCGGACAATGAGGGGCTTCCCTGACTTACACTTAGGTTAGAAGTCAGGTCATACGAGACTAGGGCCCACCATTTAGGTACCTGGGTCAGATTCAAGTTAGACTTGAAGCCTCTGTCTGCTTACATCTTTAAGGAATTTTTTTTTTTTTTGAGACAGGTCTCACAATGTAGGTAGCTCTGGTACTCATTATGTAGACCAGGCTAAGCCTTGAATTCACAGCCTTGTCTCTTCCTCCCAAGTGCTGGGATTAAAAGTGCAGGCACTCTCTAGTTTTGAAAGACGTTTCTGTTGATGGTGAGGAGGGTATGTCATTGGCATTCCGGGTCTGGCTGTGTAAACTTTAACTGTACGATGTTTGCTTCATACACTCAAAAGCAGCTGTGTGTTTAGTCGCTAAGCTGAACTCTTTTGAGTCTATCTCTAAAGGGTTATCCAAATGATGCTGTTATGTTTGGCTGCCTTCAGGAAAGTTATCTTTAGTCTTTGTCCTGTGAGAATTGCTATGCTTCCTATCAGTGTGTATCTCTCACTTTAGCTATTGGAGCAGTGTGGTTGTCAGTGCCTGGCCCCTACCTCAGAGCTAGAAGGGGCTGAGGGGACCTATTCTCTCACTGGAAGTTCTGTAAGATACCAGGAGTACTTTTTTATTACTTTTTAAAAATTTTATATGCACGAGTGTTTTGCCTGCATGTCTGTCTGTCTGTCTGTGCTCCACACATGTAGTACCCAGTGTAGGCCAGAAGAGGGCGTGGATCCCTTTGGACTGGAATTACAGACAATCATTAGCCATGGTGTTGGTGCTGGGAATTGAACCCAGGTCTCTAGAAGAACAGCCGGTGAGTGCTCTTAACCACTGAGCCATTGCCTCTTCAACCCCCAAGTCCTGGGATTTAAGTCAGGTCTTCCAGCCAAGTTCCGAGTTCTCTGTCACATCTGCACATACATGAGGACCATGGTCATCAAGTTGTGAGACTCCCCAGGTAGCCCTTCCCTAGTGCCTGCCTCAGACATGCACATCTAGTCACCGCTGTCCTCCCCCTTAAAAAGAGGAACCCCCAAGGGAAGATGAAGTAATACAGGAGAAAACCAGAAACGTGCTTGTTGTGACCGATGTAACCACCTCCACTCTCCACCCTCTCTGAGATCCTCACCCTTTTCTTGCCCTTAAGCTGCCCTTTGACCTCATAGCCTTTCTCACCTCCTTCCTTCCATTGGGAAGGCTCACGGTGATGTCAGCAGCAGGGAGCCACAGTCTTCCTTCGTACAGAGCAATGCCTGAGCACTATCAGAAGCCGTAGGCACTGTAGCTGGGTAGAGAGAAGTGGGTGCTGGGGAACGGGACCCCGGGGGAGCACTGTGTTTGTCTGCTGCAAGATGCTCACCGTGTGTGTGTTGTGCACTAGGTCTTTAATCCCAGAGGCAGAAGCACAGATATCTCCATGAGCTCAAGGCCCTGAAAAAAAAAAAAAAGAAAAAAAGGCTGAGGCAGAAGAATAGTGTCTGAGGCCAGCCTGAGTTGCACAGAGATACCTGTGTCCAAAAAAGCAAACCAGTAGAGTGAAATTACCAGAATTACAACATGTATAGTGTTTTTTTTAAAAAAACTTTATTTAAAATCTAATATGTCCATATTTAAGGATGTATGTGAAGGAGAGATGTTGGGGATATAGACGATTGGGGGAGCATCTGCCTGGGAGCACCTGCCTGGGAGCATCTGCTTCAAAGACAAAAGAGAAAGAGAGAGAGTAATAGGATGAGAGTGGCAAGCACCTTATACTACTCAGAGTTTTCTGTGCTGCTGTTAATTAGTCAGCTCTGGAAGGCTTTTAGAGCGAGGGATAGGATGGGGACAATCCTGCTGCTTTATTGCAGCTGCCACAGAGAGAGGTGACAATCCTCTTAGATGACAAAGCCCCAAACGGAGAGGCAGATGCATCCTGGACTGTGCTGCCCCTGGGATCAGAGAAAAGCCTCCAGACCCGAAGAGAAGTAAATCTATTTGTCAGAACCAGGCAGGACTTCCTTCTCCCAGGCCCTCCTCCTACTTCTGCCCTCCTCTCATTCCTCCCGGAATTCCTAACGCTGCGACCCCTGTAATACAGTCCCTCACACGGTGGTGACCTCTAACTCATCTTATTGGTACTCCATAACTAATTTTGCTATTGTTATGAGTCATAATTTAAATAAACATTGGATATGCGACCCCCAAAGAGGTCGCAATCGACAGATTGAGAACCACTGTCCCAGCACCTCGGCCATAGAAATAAGAGCAGCTGGCCACTGCTGCATCAGATGGAAGTGTGAAGTCAGTTGTCCTGTGTGCAGAAAGGCTGAAAAGTTTGGGGCAGCTGAGTAGAAGATGGTTGTAAAGAAGTTAAGAAGTTGCCATGGGGATGGGTATGATGGTTCATCCTTTTTTTTTTTGGTTTTTCAAGACAGGGTTTCTCGGTGTAGCCCTGGCTGTCCTGGAACTCACTCTGTAGACCAGGCTAGCCTCGAACTCTCGAACTCAGAAATCCGCCTGCCTCTGCCTCCCAAGTGCTGGGATTAAAGGCGTACGCCACCACTGCCCGGCTATTTTTTTTTTTTATT